TTTCCTGTTAACATCAGTTGTGTCTACACAAACTTGAAATTGTCAGTACATACAAGTACACGTGTCAAGACATGAAGAGCCCTTTCTAAGATTATGGCGCGAAAGTGAACCGTGAATAATGAAGTCTACTCTTCACCAACCCACTATAAGTTTCATGTGGGGTTTGGTACTTTGGTTTGTTAGTAAAGAACAAGATATATTCTTCACAATGGTGGTTGTGATAATCGATGGGTCGACAATTTGGGCCTTGGTGAAAAAACGAGGCCCAATTCTGCAATGTCGTGGGCTAGGCCTTCGGAGCGTGTTGCTGGCAATAGCCGATGGGCTCGGGTTTTGTCGTCCTTCAAATGGCACTCTAGGATTTGGGGATGCGGCCGCTGATTTTCTCAAGCGGGCGATCAAGCTCGAGGCTTCTGAGGTTTTGGATGCTTAATAATAAATAAATAATATAAGAATTAGGTTCTAATATGAAATTTTGTTGTGTGTTAGCAGGGGCGGAAGTAGATTAAAAGACATCTGGGCTGTAGTTCGGGTAAAGTTTAAAATTTTTTTGAGCATTGTAGGTAAAAATGAAGTCAATTTATATTAGTAGCCCACTTTTTATTTCTATGCCCTGTATGCCCAAACAATTAAAAACTTAAAGTAAGTCCAACAAGACAAATAAATAACACAACGTCATATTTTTTAATTATTATCTAATCAATTTTTGAAATTAATCATTTGNTCTATTTCTTTTGTCCACATTTTATACATATCTTATGAGTTAAAATCAAATTTTTTTGATAATCTACAAATAGACATTCATATTGAATGAAAAAAAAAATATTTTTTTAATGCTATTTATTACCTATCATTACCAAATACGCACTATAAAAAATTATGAAATTGCAACACAAAATTCCAACGAAAATATATTTCAATGGAATTTAAACGACACTTGCAATGGACATTCTATTGTCATTATTTTCGTTGAAAATTTTCAATGGATTCAAACAGAAATTCCAACAAAACTAATCCGTTAGATTGAGTGTTTCTTTGGAATTTTTGTTGGCGATTATGAAAATTCCAACAGAAGAAGATAATTCAAAATAACGTTTTTTAATCTAAGTAATTCTAATCCGGGTAAATTTCAAATCCTGGCTCCGCCCCTGGTGTTATGGCCTTCGTTTTCTTGTAATATTTTGTTGTAGTTTGGTTGGTTTAATTTCATGTGTTGGATTATANAGGGTAATGACAATGTTCTTATCGAATTGTTTTACTTTTTTTTTTTCGGTACACGAATTGTTTTACTTTGATCACATACACTCACTTTCACACATATACAAGTGTGAGTTGACCTAATGGTCAACTAACTCTGCATACTTTTAGACACGAATACACCTATCTTCTAACTATTAGTATATTGGATGCCACAAGTTTTTGTTACTTTTAGACACGAATACACCTATCTTTGGAGAATTGGGAGTCCATAGTTGGGCTCACGGCTTAGCGTCTGTGGAGATGGCGTAATCTAAAAATTTTTCAGGATAAGGACTTAAGGAGTGTCCGATTGAGCAACGTGTTTGAGAAGTTTTTTCCTTTGTTCATCAAATGAGGGCGGCAATGGTTAGTGGTATGGCGATGGGAAGTGTTGGGCTACGCGAACAGAGGTGGATAGCTTGTTCTTTGCCGGATGTCGATAAGGTGAAGGTTAACACATATGAAAGTTTTGTACCCAACATAGGTATGGCTAGTGCAGGTGGTGTTATTCGGATCATACGGGAAAATGGTTTTGTGGTTTTTTAATGAATATTGGTTTTTGTTCAATCATTGGAGCCGTACTTTGGAGTTTATTTCAAGGCTTGAAGCTCGCATGGGACATTGGAGCGCGCAATGTGATTGCGGAGGTCGATAATCAAAGTATTATTGCAATGGTGAACGGGGACTTTTGTTGGGGAGTACACACGAGCGTCTTGCGGGGTGTAAAGGAGCTTTTAAGTAGACAGTGGCATGTGGTCTTGCATCATGGTTATAGAGAATCAAACTTTCTTGTCGATTTTTTGGTCTCGCTTGCGGCTCAAGGGCCTGGCGGTTTTCATCGCTTGGATAATCCTCCTTCGGGAGTAAAGATTTGGTTAGATCATGATGTGATAGGGGTGTCTTATCCTCGGCCTCATTTTCTTGTACCCAAAAAAAAAAATGTGGAAGCAAACAATATTGGAAGATTTAGCTTAATATTGAAATTTGTTGAGTACAAGGAACAAATAATTGCTTTTGGCCATGTTCTTTTAGGAAAAACAATAAGGTACTATTAAACATGTCCAACGATCTATTTTTTCAACAAATCAAATATACATAGTTTTAATTAAAAATGTCATATTCTACGAAAACATTAAAAAAGAAGTATGACATTTTATGCATGTTTTATTCAAAAGAATATGACTGAGTCCACCTAATGACTTGTTGTTTAAGAAAAAACAACAAGACAATCAGTGGCGGACACAAGTATAGGCGAGCCTAGGCAATTGCCTAGGCTCAATTTTTTGTGCTAATATAGTTAATATGTGCTAATAAAAAATTTATATTTAATGTGTATAAATATAAATACAAGTTTTTATTTTTAAAATCTTAAATAATTTTTACAAAATAACATTATTGTTTTTATTTAAATTGATATACCTCACCGATCAGATTCGAGGGTATTACATTATAACATTTTTAGTACTTATGCCATATAATAAGCTTGATAGATAAATTATTGTTTTTCAATTATAATTGATAAATATTTCAATTTTTATTGATAGATATCAGATAGATATAATTATTTTAATTTACATATAAAATATGAATGTGAGATTATATATTGTCAAACTATGACTAATTTAAGCTATCATATATAAAAAATGATAATATATACAAATGCTATTGACTTTTAAAATATATTTACAATTTAAGTTACCCAAATGTTTAAATTTGAAAGTTCTGGACAAATATTAATATTTGTATGGACTATTTCGAATCCTTAGTAATTAACATATAGAATTACAAAGCGTTGGAAATTGACAAAGAAAAACTCTATATTTATCTATAAGAAGATAATCCATAAGAAAATCTTTATAAAATAACAATAACAAAAACGATGACAGTTAGGCTTCTCTTAAATTAATAAATTATATTTCAAAATGACTTTTTTATTTCTTATTACTAAAAAATGAAGGAAAAAGGATTGTATAATAATTTTTGTAAATTTCTTAACAATAATAATAAAAAATAAAAAATAAAATAACCAGACTTCATTCTCAATTTCATTTTTTAGCATCAAGTCAATATTTCTGGATCAATTTAGCATCAATTTCATTATTTCAACGATTTATTTAATTGTTAATATAAGTACTTTGTGCAATAAAAGTAAAAAATTTATTCGAACTATTTTTTGCCCTGGCTCGTGAAATTTTCTGGATCCGCCGCTGAAGACAATCATATTTTTTGTTCAAAAGATACATATATTTTCAAATTGAAATGTATTATTTCACAAAACATAAATAAAAGTATATTATTTAGTAACTAACGTATGTTTTTTTGCTATAAAATTTGATAGGTTGATCCGTATGATATAAAGCTACTTATCCAATAATTTTTTTTTTTTTTTAAAAAAAAGGAGATTATACTCGGTTTTGACCCGACGACCGGCGGGCTTGCTGACATGGACCCAAATTTAATACTTTAAAAATTTGGAATTTATTGACAAGTGGACTTCAAAGGGAAAATATCAAAATACATACGTGGTTTCTGAATGAAAAATCACGTGCTTGTAATAACTTTGTAATTGCCGTCACGCCTGACGCCTCTTTTGATTGANCAATTATCTCCCTTTCAATTAACCATTTTTTCCCGTATATATATTTCATTCAAATTAGTCTTAATATTAAAGACATGGAAGTTGAAATCAGCATGTTGTTGAAGGTGGCCATTTTCATGGTGGTTCAAGGCCTTGTCTACGTCATCCTCTCAAAGTCCTCCAATGTCTTCTCCAAGACTCGAAAATCGAACAGCTTCAAGACGGCTCGGACTATAAGCATCCGCCGGTGGGCGGCAGCCTTAGCCGATATTCCGGCAGGCGGCGAGCGGTCTCCGGCGCCTAGGGATTTTCTCCGGGCACTCAGCCTTAAAGATAGTAATTAATTAGCTCCGGTTAAGATGGGTTGATTCAATTGTGGTTTTTATTATTTTTGTTTATTATTCATTTTGTAATGTATTCTTTGATTTTATTTATTCTTTTCGGTTGATTGGGTTGCATGATTATATTTTGAATACCGATTATGCAATATATGTAAAGAAAAAAAAAAAATACGGTTATTATGATAAGTAACTAAGTAAGGAATGATCATAATTTACAATTAAAAAAAATATTATAGGAAGGACTCTCTTTCAATTTTGTCTTCTTCTATCTTTAAATAGTTTGTATGCAGTTTTTTTAATCAAAAAAATAAAATAAAATAAAATAATTTACAATTAAATATTGTGGAATGTTAGCTATAATCACACTTAATTATATGCAAGTTTTGTGAGGTAGAAAGTTTCCAGGAAGGTTACAAGAGACGTTTCGTACGTACTTACAAAGCTCAAGTTGATGTTTTTAATGAAAATTAGTTAAATACTGGTCAGAGACTCAGATTTCTTTTTTCTTTAAAAAAAAAAAAAATATTTACAAATATATTTGGGATGATGAAAGGTCTAACATTGACATTCTTCACAAGGGTGCATCAATATTTCATTATTTTACAATACATTATCAACGCAATACTTGCCATGAAAGAATATATTGTGAATCATATATCTCCTCATTGCTTGCACATGAGACTACTAATCGAGTGATAAGTTAAGCTCATTTCTAACATATTAGACATGCTTTTGAGCCGAAAATTTGAATGACAAACCCAAGTCCGAAGTTGGAGAATGCCTCTTTTAGGTGAGGTGGGCTTGTACCACAACAAAATCAAATATATAATTGTTAATGTTCGGAAATGGAGTAGTTTTTAGCTAGGGCTGTAAATGAGCCGAGCCCTACTCAACTCGTTAAGTTATGAGTCATAAATCGAGTTCGAGCTTGACTTATTTTGTCAATATTAACGAGCCGAGTTCAAGTCTCATCGATCTGAGCTGAACTCGATTTTGTTAACGAAGCAAGTTTTAACTGAGCTTGATAAACAAGCTAGTTGAACTCGACCCTTAACAAACTGAGCCTAGCTCATGACTCGTTTAGTTTACGATATCTACTTTTGGCTAACATTAACATATTAATAAGTGCGCATGTGGATATTATAACAATGTGCAATGCGACATCGGTGCGAGTGGCTGCTTTAAATTTCAGCCCAATCTTATTTGGTTTGCCCACACATACGATCCTGGCCCAAAAGCCGTCCAAAGACTATGAAAATCTTACAATTGTATGATTAAACGAAAAATCAAAATAAAAGTTAAAGAAACTATTGCAAGAGTTCAAAATTTCAAGTTACTACCCACCACTTTTATTGCAAATAATATTATCTTATGTTGTTTAGTTGATTGTCATGATTATCAAGAGTCCCAAATGTCACATTGATAATCATCCAAATGTCACATTTCTACTTTCCACTAAAAATAAGGAACAAGAAGAATGAATATTGAGGAGGAACAAAATTCACAATGTCAACTCTATATTGGTCATGTTTATTGGATACGTGATGGACTATTGTTACTATAATAATCATAATTAGCATTGAAATCTACCTGAACTCAAACTCTGGCTCAAGTCGAGTAGAACTTTGTTTGTTAACTAAACAAACTTGAGTTCGTTCAGTTTGTTTATCAATGTTAACGAATTGAACTTGAGTTTTAATAATTCTACTATAAAAATTATGTAGAAAAACTTTATTCTTGACCCTTAACGAACCAAAACTTAAACGAGATTCAGGCGAATCTAAATTCAACTATTTATAAAATTAATCGATCTCGAAATTTAACAAGTGAATCTGATCTAAGAGCATCCGCATCAATGCATTCATTTGGATCATTTAAATGGCTTTGTCCCCATTAAACCAATACAGCTATTCATTCATTTGTGGAACCCATATTACCGTTCAATCCCCTTAACGGCTCTTTTGAGCCTTATTTAATATTTTTTTTTATTTTTTTTAGCTGCCTTTTTTGTTGTTTTGTCTCGACAGCTCTTTTTAAGTTTTCTTTATTTATTTATTTTTCCAACTTTTTAATTAATTTTAAATAAATTTTTTACCCGAATAATAAAAATTAATTTTATTCATTTTTTTCAACTAATTTTGAATATAAGTTTGAGTACAATTTTTATTTCTAAATATTAATTTTGGGAAGTAGTTTCATTCCAAATATGTTCAGCCATATATGCTCTAAACCATATATGGTCTAGTGTGTAAATTTGCAACCCATTTAATTCCAAATATGTTCAACCATATATGCTCTAAATCATATATGGTCTAGTGTGTAAATTTGCAACCCATTTAATCCAAATATGTTCAACCTTATTAATTTTTTTTTTTACGGTGATTTTTAATTCATATTTTTATACTACAATAAAAAAATATTAAATGAATGAATGGGTCCCATATTTGTATTTAAATGAATGTGTAAGGATGTGAGTGTATGTTTAAATGGAGAGAGAAGATGATGTGGATGAAAGAGAATGTAACTTTTTGATTGAATGAATGGGAAAAAAATTTATGGACGTGGATGCGCTAACTAAGTAAGAATTTGTTTCGTTTAATGTTCTTTATCTATCAAATATTTGCAGCCTACTTGTGTGGAATTCCACACAAGGAAAAAAGCCCAAAAAAACAAAAATTTTAAAAAAAAAAAACACTCATATACAGAATAAACAGCACCTTTTTCTTCTNATCTTTCGTCAGTTGATTTTGTTGTATTGTTATGCATACGATGGATGTGTTTCGTAGGTAATTGATTGTTTTCGAACTAATTGTGTGTTTCAGTTTGAGGAAATTGCGTAAGAAATGGTGTTCCAGAGGAGTGTTTCCCTGTTGTCCAAGCTACGGTCCCGCTCTGTGAGTGAACCTTTCTCTTCAATTCGAGTCCACTAGAGAAAATGAAGAAGAGTGGTTTTGTGTGATTTGGTTCACGTTTGTTGTGCATGATTGTTCATTTGAATGTTGAAATCTTTTGTGCCCCAGGGTCAACAACCGGTTCTGGGCAATTCGGTCCGCTGGCTCCAGTCCTTGGCTGGCATTGTGAGTCATATCGTTTATCTCGTGACTTTACTTTTTAGACTTTTTTGTTTCGGATTGTGGAATGTATTTGTTAGCTGAACAGGTCCAGTGTAGAAGCATCATTACAGTAAATCTCTCATCTGTATTGTGGTTGAAATGTTTTTCTCAAGGCCTAAGTGGAAAATAGTGAAGGAAGTAAAAAGAATTTTATTGAATACCTTTGTGTAGTCATAACAGATGAAGGGGCTAGAGTGTGAATGGGGAGGAGATTAGAGCAGGGTCAAGGAAGTTAAAACTCATGGATGGAGTTTATTTTTGTACTGAGAGGCTGCAAATGAAATATTGGTTGTAAAGGATTGGGAGTTTGGGACTGTCGGATGTCGATGTATTTTTCATGAGTTCTCGACATATCATCCTTATGTGTTTTGGTGCTTTGCATTTGCTCGTCATCGAGAAGCTTACTTAATTTTCTGATGCTATTGTACTGTTGGCGCATTTGTAGGACCTTCATTCTCAGCTGAAGGAATTGATACCCGAACAGCAGGTAATGGCAGGTGTTATGTTTTTGGGGATACAAAATTCACAATTTACTGAATCTATGCTGGCAAAGGCGAAAATATCTAGTAATGTGATATTTGTTCTTGTTTGAATGTGTTCAATATATTTTTGAGTAATTGATCATAACGTTGACGCCAGAAAAGTTTATCAGCTGTATTGATGTTAACTGGACACTTCATATTTATTTGTTGCAGGAGCGCCTAAAGAAACTTAAGTCAGAACATGGAAAGGTTCAGCTTGGGAACATAACTGTTGACATGGTATAAGATTTTCTTGTATTTGTCTTTTCTTCTCTCGATTTTATAGAAACTAACGGCCTTGGTACTAATGTTGGGATATCTACAACAGGTACTCGGTGGGATGAGAGGAATGACGGGATTACTGTAGGAGACGTCATTGCTTGATCCAGAAGAGGTATCCCCTTTATTACTTAAAGGTGTAAATTAGTCATACAGTTTATCGGTGTATATGTCATGCAGAACCTTTAAGGTTTCTTAAGGTGCATTATGTGAGAGGCACTTACCGATGTGCGTTAATAAACTTTTTTACTTAGGGAATTCGCTTTCGAGGCCTGTCGATTCCTGAATGTCAGAAATTGTTACCAGCTGTAAAGCCTGGTGGAGAACCACTGCCTGAGGGTCTTCTCTGGCTACTTTTAACAGGAAAGGTAGTTTGCTTTCTGTCACCTGCATCTACATAAGTATTTATTATTATTATTACTATTATTTTTTTTTTTGTTGGGAGGGGGGTGGAGGTTTAGGCTACATTCTATTTGAACTTGTCATCATATGTATATACATCTGTACAGTTAGCATCTGTTTCTGATATTGACATGTCGTTGAGCCTCCTCCTCAATTTTCTGCTATATAAATAATTATTTTGGGACCTTTAAAACCCCGCGTTTGATTAAGTAATTAAGTTAATCTTCGCCTATTTGTTTCCTCACTTCATCTAGGTGCCAACAAAAGAGCAAGTGTATGCTTTATCAAAGGAACTACAAAGTCGTGCTACTGTCCCAGGTTCTTCAGCTCTCAAACTTATAATTAAATGCTTAAACTGTGTGAAAGGATAATCTAATGTTCAAATTCATTATTCAAGCATTTGAACCATTTCACCTATACTTTGCTATATTAAAAATATTTCAAAAAGGTTCATGGAGCTATTTTTGGTGTACATGCTTGCTGTTTTAGTTGTTTTACTCTCTGTTCTTATGCATTTATGAACTTTTAATATATGTGGTCTGTGTTCATTTAAAGCAGCACTTTCTGGCTTATATGTTATCTATGCAAATGTTCTTACTAAGTAACTCTTATGATTGCAGATCATGTATATAAAACCATCGATGCGCTACCTGTTTCTGCTCATCCAATGACTCAGTTTGCAACCGGTGTCATGGCTCTTCAGGTTACAATCTTCACATCAGATCATCAATACTTATGAATAGGCCTGTTGAATGCACACTTTTCCACCATCTAGTCCTGATGCATATTCATCCTTAATGTCGTCCAGTTTTCATGCTTCTAATTAATCGCTTTTCATGCTTTCAGTGTTGTGTATTTTGTTCAAGTTGTTTAAGCTTGTAGTTCTATTCCTGAGCCATGGTTTAAAACAATGACTTAGAAGTAATTCATATGGCCACCAATTTGAAGCTTTAAGGGATGAATGGAGCAAAAAGTACTGTTGGTTGCCTTGTGCTTCGATTTGTCTAGAATTCTACTCCTGTCTCAGTGTCCACTATAAGCTTAAAAAAAGTGGAAATTGGCTGATGTTTGAATCCAAGTTCTAATGTGGCTTTATCACTGTGTTTGTATTTGTGCAATGCCATACCTAATGTGCCTTATGGAGTGTTTCCTTCAGAATAAGAACCTAGTTTTGATGAATTTTTACTTGCAGTTAAAAATTACTTGTCTATTTCTAAAGCCAAATTAAATGAACACTGTGTGGTGCTGAAAAAAGGCTGGAATAGATATATTTACTGTCACTGTTGGTTCTTGCTAACTGGCTAGTGGCTAGTTATCTACTAGATATGAAAGATTGTCATGGAACTTTCAAATCCTAGATGATATAAAGTGATCGCCCACATAACAAGCTTTCAGAATCATCTCTTTGTTGTTTTCCTTAATTTTTTTTGAAAGTTGTTTTGCATGATTAAGAAGTCTCTTTTAGTATAACTTCTTTATGCTTCCTGATTGATTTCTACTGAATGTCTATTGTTATGCATCCCAAGGTTCAAAGTGAATTCCAGAAGGCTTATGAGAAAGGAATCCACAAGTCCAAGTGAGTTTTCAAGAAAATTCATGAAAATATCTCTGTCTTTCGTTTTAATTATTAATTCAAGTGTGGGTTTGACCTTTCAGGTACTGGGAACCAACATATGAGGATTCCCTTAGTTTGATTGCTCAAGTTCCAATTGTTGCTGCCTATGTCTACCGCAGGTTCGTTAATGGTTTTTATCTTTGCTTGCTTGAAGAAGTTGGGAACTGTGATCAGCACACTGAATCCTTTCTTCTCCTATCTCTCTTCTCATCCTCCTTTTTATTTTTCCTCTTAAAACAATGACCATTTTTCCCTATATCATGATTTTATCATTTTTTAGTAACATCTCACTGATATTGTGAAGGATATACAAGAATGGAGAAGTAATACCAACAAATGTCTCGCTGGATTATGGTGGAAATTTTGCTCACATGTTAGGATTTGATAATCCTGCTATGATGGAACTCATGAGACTTTATGTCACCATACACAGGTGTGTTTTGATAAATTATTCAACGGAAAACTATCAAATATGTCTAAACAATTTGCAATTTTCTCGAAGTTAATAATCTTTATGTATATAAAAGATGCTATTGTTTGTTGCAGTGATCATGAAGGTGGAAATGTTAGTGCGCATACTGGTCATCTTGTAAGTGACTCGACTCAATTCTTTACTTGTTCCTCTTGAAAGGCCTAGAAGTCCAGCGATGCTGTTGGTTGTATTTTGTTCAAGTTGACTCATGGGCTTGTGGACCTAATTTGTTCCGACACCTGGGCAAATTATATTCTCTTTCAGCATAAAATTCGTTCGATTGATTATTCTTGTACTTCCTCAGGTCGCCAGTGCACTGTCAGATCCTTATCTCTCATTTGCTGCAGCATTAAATGGTTTAGCCGGTCCACTTCATGGATTGGCCAATCAGGTGCCATTTCTTCTATGCTTTAGTCCTTCAGAATGAGTCATTTCATAGGTCTAGCTGCGGTTGCATTTGCCAATTGTCAGTATTAGTATTGATGTACTTACTCCCTTATAACCCGCCCTTGTCTAATTTACTGATAAAAGCTTCCTTGGCTATTTTGTTATAATTCAGATTAAATCCCTGTTTCAGCCCTTATGTTGCATCGGAAGATAATATCTTTTTGTTTATTCGTGAAAATTCTTTTTTCATGTTATCCCAGGAAGTCCTGCTATGGATTAAATCTGTCATGGAAGAGTGTGGGGAGAATGTCAGCAAAGAAAATCTCAAAGACTATGTATGGAAAACATTGAACAGTGGCAAGGTAGTATTTTTAACTGTGTCCCGAATTTTATCCAACCTTGATAATCGTTTTAACACTTATGTTGGATTCATGACTTGAGATCGTCGCTAGTAATAAATTAATGGTAAAAAATATTCACGGTTTTTAAAATTTGATCTCATTCAATCTCAATTTCTCATTAACTTGTTACTGTAGGTTGTTCCAGGATTTGGACACGGTGTGCTGCGCAAGACAGATCCAAGATACACATGCCAGAGAGAATTCGCATTGAAGCACTTGCCCGATGATCCATTGTTTAAACTGGTCAAACTCCATCAACCTCGATAATCGTGATATGTTTGTGCCGTTATTCATGATCTTGTTCATTTTGTATGACTCGGCTTTATTATTTTTGGTTATTCTCCATGCAGGTTTCCAATCTTTATGAAGTAGTTCCCCCTATACTTTTGGAGCTAGGGAAGGTACCACTTATATATATATAACGTGTGAAATTTCTGAGTACCCATGAGGAATGATGAACTCGTAGCCTGTTATCGAATTTTCCACAATATTTTTTAGTGATTAGCTTTGTCCATTGCAAATGGAGCTGGAAGAGTCATTGTTGACAATTCTCCTGGCATAGTGCTAATAATGGACTAGATCAAAATGACTCAATTAAATTCTAGTGCTTCTTCTATTAGTGAAGTTTCTAGAAAAAAATAATATATCAAACAGCGCAATGCACCTTGGGTCGCTACGGAAACAGCCTCCTTGTATAAATACAAGGGTAAGGTCTGCGTACAACTGACCCCCCAGACCCCAACCTGTTGGGAATATACTGGGTATGTTGTTGTTGTTGTATTTTTTAGTGATTAGCTTAATTATTTTGCAAATACCATCCTGATCAAATCACATCTGAATCTGATTTTCTTAGGTCAAAAACCCTTGGCCTAACGTAGATGCCCACAGTGGAGTGTTGCTCAATTATTACGGTTTAACCGAAGCAAGGTGAAAAAGATAATAATCCTTCCATATACCCACACAATAGTATTTGTTCGTTTTCTGTATTATGCTAAAAGGGAAAAATAAAGAGAAACCGACATGATTGAACTTTTTCATCGTGGTCAGATATTTCACTGTTCTCTTTGGAGTGTCGAGGGCTATTGGCATTTGCTCTCAGGTTGTTTTTCTATATCATCTTTCTTGTTAGTTATTACTGAAATTCCTTTTTTTTTTTTTTCTTTTTTTTTTTTTTCTTTGCGCGTTGCTAATTTTGGTTCTGCTCTGTTTTTGTCGATTTAGCTTATATGGGATCGAGCTCTTGGGCTGCCACTCGAGAGGCCAAAGAGCGTTACCATAGAATGGCTCGAAAATTATTGTAAGAAAGCAGCTTCAGCTTGAAGTTCATCTTCGTAGTTTTCTTAGTAATAATCTCCCGAGAAAAGTAAATAAATTTCTTTTTTTTCTGCGGAGTAATGTGAAGTTTTGACATCATGTTGTTTCCCGTAAAGACCTTGATATTGAATGATGTTTATTTTAACCCACAATTTTGTGGCGCAATCTCATTTTAACCCACATCACTTGTCTTCTTTAATCGCATATTGTTATGAGTAGTTGGTGTTTTTTTATTTTTTATGGGCTTAATTGCAACTGGAAAAAATAAAATTAAATTGAATTAAAAAGTGTAATCATCTTTCAGAGTGTAAACAATGGATACAAACTGGGTTACTGAGCACAAACTTTTTGAAATGTCCCCTGAAATTCCAGAATTTTTGGTTATACTGAAATGCAGTTTTCCCACATTTGTTTCCCTTTTGAATGTTAAATACAATTATATTTTGCCATTAGCATCGTAAAACCTTCTACATCACAGGTAGGCAACAATGGATCGTCAGCTATTGATCCCACTAAACTTACAACCCATGAGCAAGTTGGAGCCATAAACAAATTGTACTAACGATTGCACTCTATATTCTGCCAAATCGCATTGTTTGTTGAGTTAAAAAATCAAGAATACAAGTAACACGTACATGGTCGCAACTAAAAATTCAGCAACCGGAGCTTATTTCCTAAAAATACGAAACAATTTAAGAGCTCGATGAAAAGTATTCAAGATGTCACAATGGGACACCAATTTCTATGTTAAAATGTATATAGCAGCACCATCAGAATTTCACTTCCAACACTCTTGGCAGCAAGAACTAATTCAGTGCTCGGGTCACCCCAAGAGCAAGATTCTTGTAGAATCATTTAAGTCGCACATAATATAACTTTTCGAAAATGTGCTACGCAGACCCTTTTCCTTTGTCTCGAAGGTCATCTTCTCCAGGGACAGATGTAAAATTACGCCTTTCATCAGAAGTTGCAGTAATAACGGGCATCCACACATCAGCAGTTGTGCTCAGTAGAGCCCTTACTTGTGGGTCTGTGGCCATGGCTGAGGATATCATCTCATCAACGTTATCAAGCTTTGCAGATAATTTGTCGAGCTCCTTTTCTATCTCCATCTAATTCAACCAAAAATGAAAAACTTTTAAGACTCTATTTGGTAAGCATATAAACTAGTTTATAGCTAATTTGATTAGCTTATAAGCTTCCTGTATTCAAATAAGCTTGGTTTGCTATGGACGAGGTCTTTTAAAAAGTCAAAACTTATCTCATAAGCTTCCTTCTTTGGGTGTTTTTTTTTTTTCAAATAAGCTTATTGAAATTTTTATTTTCATCTAATTTTACCAAACATTTTTATCATATAAGCTAGCTTTTCAGCCATAAGTCCTAAGCTATCAGCTATAAGCTCAAAATTCACTTAAAAGTTACAAGCTAACTTATCCGCTAGGTTTACCAAACATAGCGTAAACCATTACAAGAATCTCAATGAAATAACAAGGAGCACGTTGCTCAAGTAGGTATTCATCATCCTTTATAATGGCCATTCGCCAAGGTTCGAACCATATATCTTCCACTCGTTTGGTGGTTGTTTCTTTCACAGATTTCATTTTTACGAGCAATTTGCGAGCTATAACCATATATGACCTGAGTGAACTCGAATGTACCTGATTAAGATGTTGAGCAGATTTAGGAGGGAGTTTTCGGACCTCCAAACCAAGGGCCTCGATCTTAGCACGCAACTCGACTTCTTCTTGATTGGTCAACGACTCCACCTGGAAAATAATCAATCCAGACACGGGGAATGAAGGGATCAGAGCATGAAATATCCCGAATTTATCGCGTATAAGATACTTTCACCATCCCATTAAATAATCAACACTTGATGTGTTATATTTCTCGAGCCCATTCCATAAATCGGCACAAAATCAGAAACTAATGACACGATGGGATATTACACAGGCATCACTACTATTTCCTAAAGTTTTGAAAGAAGACAAAACTATGATCTTCGTACGGTTAATTCTGCAATAACATCAGAAGCACCATTTCTTGTTAGTTCTAAAGATTCAAAAATAAGAAGCTGCTACAAACTACATCAAATTCGACGGATACAGAAAACCGAGATAATATGAATAATCAACCCTGATATGTTATATTTCTCGAGCCCTTTTCACAAATTGGCACTACATAAGAAACTAATCAAACAATGGGGTTACAAAATAGTCGCTACTAGTTCCCAAATTCTCAAAATAAAATAAAAGTATGACCTTTTATGGTTAACTCTGTAATAAAATCAGAAAGCATCATTTCTATATTAGCGCTAAAGATTCAAAAACAAAGGAGCCGATATAAACTACATCAAATTCGATGGATACATAAAACCAAGAAAAAACCAGAAGCCAATACTATTGCAAATAATCCATACCAAATAAAATCTCAGCTTTTGACATTTTTTAGCTGATAAGCAAAACGATCCACAAAATTACTCGCTTTCAAACAGAGCCCACATATAGAAATAATCCAAAAAGATACAAAAACCAATTGAATTGAAATCCGATAGCAGATCATAAAATTGTATTCATTATTCATCCGTCAATTTTGGGGCTCAGAAATTAGAAGCACGAACACAAAGTTCTCCGTTCAGTACCTGTTGCAGGAGAGTGGAAAGCAGCCCAAAGAGCTGCGCATCGGCGGCCGCCGGCGACGACGGTGATTTTCCTTCTTCCGTCATTTTCTATGGTCTTGCGATGATTTTGCGTGTGAGCCAATCGCGATCTTGTTGGTCTCGCTACATATATTGTCTACTTTTTTTTTAATAAAGTGTATATTATTGCATAATATTTTTTTTATAATTTTTTTTGATATCTTAATTATATTCTAGAGTATATATTTTGATTATTTTTTTTAAAAAAATTGTACTGTTCAATTGAAAGAGCAGTCTAAAACAATGAANTATTTTTTCATTAATAATTTTTTTCACGTAAAATAAAAATAGTAAGTTAATATAAATATTGAAAACGATCAAAATATGACAACTTCAATTACAATTAGATATATCTTGCAATTTAATATTTTCCACAATGATATATATATATATATATATTTAAATTTTAACGTACTTAAATTTGACATTTTAAAATTTTAAAAAATCATGAGGCATTAAATTAAAATTTCCAAACATTTTTTAAAAGTCTCTAAAAGTGGCAAGGTATTCATTTGTATTTTTTAAAGTTTCACAAAATCCCAAGTCATTCATATCTTTTCAATTTTTTTGAGATTTGAGATTTGGCATTTATTTTGATTTGCAATAACTTTAAAGAAAAAATACTTATATATACCAATCCCATTAGTATAGTTGAGTATAGTTCTTTAGCAAATATGCTATTTAGCAATTGTTTGAAGTTATTAATATCTCGTTGAGGGATTTTCTTGTGTACGGGTATTGTTATTTGTTACTATTTTGTTCTTTTTTGAGGGATTTGTTTTTGTTTCTTTTTTTTTCACTTTTCAGAAGATGGTTAGATTTGTTCGAATACTCGTGAAATTGTTGACATGTTTTACTTGGATTGTTAATTATGTTGTTGAAGAATTTATGTAAAACATTCATATAATGGTTTTGTATGGCTATTAGCATTGATTGATGAGTGTATTAGTTTATATTAAATAGTTGATTGTATTAGTCGAGTTAGTATGATAAGTTAGTGTATTAGTGTATAACAAATAGTTGGTTGTATTAGTGATCGAAAAAAATTGATTCAACTAACTATTTGTTAAATATGTGTTTGGTAGTTTAATGTTTTTATTAAGAAAAAAAAATATTTGGTAGATAGTGAAAATTTATAGTCATTGAATTTTTCTTTTTAATTTCTCTTCCTAAAACACTCTTTTTGAGATCTTTTATATTAGTGTTTTAGTTTCAAAAGTCAATCAAATAAATTCACTAACATGCTAGCAAATTTGATCCATCATTCTAACTAAGTTTCAAATCACTAATTTAACAAACAAATTCATCCTATTCTTTATATTTTTTCTTTAAATTTCTCCCCATTTAAAAAGTCTAAAAGATCTCAAATATTACCCATGTGGTTTATTTTTATTTGTTGGTTTCTAGCAAATCCTATGAACTTCACGTGAATAATAAAATCTCACAATCCTAATAAATCTCGAGAATTGTAAAAGTTCATTTATTTTAATTCTACATCCCTTGGACTTATTTTAGACAAGAGTGGCTTTGATGCATAAGGTTTTAAAGTATATCCTACCCATTGACTTTGACTTTTTCCATGCTCCAGCAAGAAATTCCACGTGAAAATGAAATTTACCAGTTCAGGACTTTGACCCACTTGGCATTATTATGAATATAGACTATAAATAAATATGTGATTAGGATTTAGTATAAATCACAAATGCACTACTGTTTTATTTTGTAATTCATATTTCTTGTTTATTTTGTTTTTTGTTTTACCAAATTTTATAAACAAACACATAATTACATATGAATAACAACCAGAAATAGTCAAACAGCCACCTAACTGAATCGAAGACAACCCATTGGACAACCTATACACCACAGCACTCACGAGAATAAAAAATTTCAAAAGGATAAAAACACACAAATCTCCCAAATTGAAAATCAACACATTTCCCAAAAGGGGGAATCAACACAGCTCTCTAAAGGAGAATAAACACAAAAAAATCACAAAACAAAAACAACACAAACACAACAAAACCCACATGCACCTAATTTAAGACAAAAAATCAACTGGTAAAATGAACTGCAACACAACAAGTGATCACCATTGGAAATACAATCACAAAACACAAGCTCAAATCAAGCTAAAACCATCACAAATGTAATCAAGAAGCACACAAAATGTACTCGATTTAAGACAAAAACACCAACTGGTAAAAAATGAACTGCAACACACAACAACAAGTGATCACCATTTTGAAGCACCAACAATCACAAAAACACAATCTCTGAAGATTATATAGGCTAAAACCAATCAATCACAAACTTAAATCAAGAAACCCATATTATTATTACACGAAAAGCCCGCGATTTTAATTTGGAAACAAATAGTCCCGATTAACCGAAGGAGGATAAACCGAATTATATTGAACCGGCCTATGATGACGATGATCATTAGGCACAGACAAACCCGAGCCTACAACAACACTCGTGACGTGGGGCCCACACGTGTTAGGCATGCCAGCTGCTTTGTGCGCGCATTGCACGTGCACATCAAAATCGCATTCCGAGCAGGCATAGCAAAACCCGGTTCCAAGAAGGCTACAATCGTTGCAGAAGAAAGAGGCCGACTGGTAAGTGGGCCACGAGAGGAGGGTCAAAGGGTGGGTTGGGTGGGCCGGGTGGTTGAGGGCCCGGGAGGCCCGAAAGCAGTGCTCGTCCAGGAAGTAATTGCATTGCCAGCAGGCGTAGAAAGGGCCTGTACGGGTCGATTTGCAGCCCGAGCAGTGGGTTTCGGGCCCGTGGTGGANTCTGTTTTTGTGTTGTTTGTTTGTTTGTTTGGGGGATTAGAAGGTATATGTTTATAGAGGCATTTTGTCAAACAGGTTGTGAGCAAGTTGGGGTTTTAAAGAATTGTTAATAATTGTGCAATGGTTTTGGGTGTGTGACAAGCTGTGGGATGCTTGAGAGAGTTTGAATTTGTCAAAAGTCAAAACTCACTAGATGGGTTCTTACATTTCAAGAAAGATTAAATGGGGAGAGAGATTGAAGTTTAGGGGGGATTTTGAGTTGACTTCAATTGTGAGTGTGAAATTCACCACATGGGGTTTCGAGGAAAGAAGGTATCTTCTTTTTCTTTTTTGGGGAAACTCCTGTTTATTATCTGTTGCGCTCGTTATTTGCTGTTCGAGCGTTTGTGAGCTTGTACGATGTGATATTCTTTTAAGAAGCAAAATGTATACAAAATCATATTGCTTTCTATGAACTCTGATTGCGGTGAAATTATGGTTTTTATTTTTAAGTCTGAGATTGCTACAGATTGCTGGATATAATTTGTTGGTTTGTGCTGTGTACAGTTATGAAATTGTTTGGTCTGATTGCAGTTTTTGGATTGCCTCCTTTATCTGTCTTTGTAATGGGAACTACAATGGGAGGAAGATTGAGCATTTATCACATTTTACTATGCAAAGTTAAATTTATCTTTTAATATGTTCGAAAATGATAATATTGTGTGTTTTTTTTAGATTTTACAATACAGATTAAAACATAATGTGACAAAAAAAAATGGAAATGAGGAAATATGAGATAATGATTTGTTTGGTATCTTTAGCTCTACAAAATGTCACACCAAGACACAAAAATACATAGTATTTGAACTCGGCATAATAACTAAATCAGTTCAAACCTGTCCTAAAACAAACGAGCATTATTACATCCTATACCAGCCTCATCATAGGCTGCTGAACAAGATCTCTATATATTAGCATTTTGCACAGAATTACACTGGTACCGAAAAATTCGAAAGACAAACTGGAGAACTCATGATGGACACGGAAAAAAAAAAAAAAAAAATNAAAAAAAAAAAAAAAAATCGATCTTTAATAGTCTGTACAGTGCTGCAAGCACCGGAGCAAACTAAATCATTTGTAGCTTCACCATTTTATTTTTAAATTGTAGGTATCACAATGTATAATGGATATTGTTATGCAAATTGAGGGTGATAAATATCGACCAATAGGAAGCAAGAAGAGGGTTTTCAATTTGCTTCGGCTGATTCGGTCTTAAATTGCTGTTCGACCATTGGGGGCAAAAGAAGGGCGAGTCGGGTTTTGTATCTTGTAATTCGTTGAAGCCGTTCTTCTCTTAGCCTACAAAATTGCAGCAAACAATGTCAACAACTGTCACTAAAAAAAAAATCCAAACAATAGAGAAAGACATGAACAGCTACTGTTGTAACCGAGACTTGGTTCTCTTCATTCGGATAAGTGAAATAAGTGTTTGTTCACAATCAAAGCTATAGAGTTAGCAGTAAAATTAACCAGTCAATTCCTGTGCAAATACACATACTAAACCTTGCATATGAGCAAATTATCAGAAGTAATAAATAATATAGCCATTCAGGTTCC